TCTATATCTATATCTATATCTATATCTATATCTATATCTATATCTATCTATCTATCTATCTATCTATCTATCTATCTATCTATCTATCTATCTATCTATTTATCTATATCTATATATATTTCTCTGTCTATCTATATCTATACCTATCTATCTACATCTATATCTATATCTATACTTATATCTCTATCTATCTATCTATCTATCTATCTATCTATCTATCTATCTATCTATCTATCTATCTATCTATCTATCTATCTATCTATCTATCTCCCTGTGCATTGCTATGAAATGATTTTTTGGGAAGAGTTGCAATATGAGTTTTCTTTTAAAAGCATGTATGCATTTATTAGCTATCTCTGGTATTTTATTATCTTATTTTATTTATTTATTTAATTTTATTTAGCTATCTATTATTTAATTAACTTTATTATTTTTATCATAAAATTGACTTGTAGGGTGTGTTGTTTTTTTGCAACATCTTTCTTTTTCACTTTTATGTTTCTGTGCTATTATTTGAATGGCTTGCTTTTAGTAAAATATTACTATTAATGTTCAAAAGCAGGCAATTTCACATGACGAAATGTAGCTGTTTTTACTTCAACAATATATTTTTTGTTTCCTAAAAGGGTAGCAGAGGTGAGCCAGGCCCTTCTGGTCCTCCAGGGTCACCAGGTAAAATGGTAAGCAGGCAGTCTTGACTTCCATCACACTAGTTTGCTTGGTCAAGGGTTTGCGGTAACCAGGTCATTTACTCAGGAAATGAAAAGATGAAACGTGAATAGGGACCATTGTCAGTTTCATTAATTTTTCAGCTCGTGATTCAATTGCATCATTATTTGAACTTCCTTAAAAAAATCTACTTTTTTTAACTAGTTTTTTTTGCTAACATTTTTATGTGTTAGTATCCTAAATAGCTCCTTAATATTAAAATTAGATTTTTAATATTCTTATACCTTTATAAGGAACAGGAATGCTGAAAGGCTAAAACCCCCTTCCCCTCCTTTTTTTTTTTTTTTTGCTAGTAGTTACCCGGCATGAATACTTTCTTTGAAACTGTTCGGATTTCATTTGTGCGGTTTCTGCTGGAAGGCCAGTTTCAATATTCAGGCTCTGAAAGAATTCTCTGTTAGAAGGGAATGCACCATAGGCTCGGTGGGTTGTAGCATTTTGCCAAACCTATAAAGGCCCCCATTGTTTCAGCAGATTGATAAAATCAAGAAGGTGCTTTTTCCCGAAACAGCAAATCATAACAAAGCAATTTTTTCATTTATTTATAACATTTATATAGCCGCCCATCTTCTAACCGACTCTGGGTGGTTCCAGAGTTCAACATATTCTCCTGTTTTGAATGAGATGCACAGCCAGCTATGAGAAAGGTCTAACCCAGAGATTGGTGGTCTATCTCAACTCTCCTTTTCTTCGGTGCAAAAGTGCCCTAAAGCCTTGCCATCTCTGATTGCTTTCACAGGGGGCAGAAGGAGACATCGGACTGCCAGGTTTACCTGGGCCCCCGGGACTGCCTGGTGCTAAAGGCAATAGGGTAAGCAGATGCAGGAAGCATCTTTTCATTGAGAAAAGACAAAAACACAGAAGCTTTTTGCCTTGTGCCAAATTTAAATCCACTGAAAGGAGAAAAATGAAACGATCACGTCAAGTTTTCTTTTCAGTGTTCTTTGAGAGTTATTGTGCTGTATAATTAAAATATTTCCCCCTTTAATTCCCCCCCCCTCTATTTCTCCTTTGCTGACAGAATAATTCATCTTTCTGTTACAGCAAGAGTCTGGGGTGTAATCCTTTCAACAAGAGAAAGAAGCTAAAGTGTGCATTTGTTCGTTCTCACTCTGTGTCCTTCATAAAGTACCGGCTGCCTGATTTGGCACCTGAGCCAAATTGTGTTCAAGTCCATCCCATCCTCTTCCGTAATAATTTCAAACCACTCTTAATCCTTTGTCCCATCTTGCAATTCTTTGTTGCCTGTATTCTGTATGACCAGAACCTCTATTGTTGCTAAAGTTATTCAGACAATTTTTGTGTGTGGATTTTTCCCTTCTGTTTGTTTCCCTGTTTCTAGAGGGGATCCTTCTGATTTTGAAGCCTCTTAATCAGTAGCATCTGCAGAGGGGCTGCGGGGCAGTCTAAGTGATGTAATCTAAGTGATGTTGCAGCAATTAGGGGGGATGCCCCCCATTTTCGATGTGTGCTGTGACATCATACACATGCCCCCAAGGATGGTGCTGTGCTATAGCAATGCTATTTCCACCATTCTGAGGAAAGCAGTGTCATGGATAGGTACTGATAGCAGAGCTTAGAACAGGGGTGTCAAACTGAAGGCCTGTGGGCTGGATCTGGCCCATGGGGTGCTTTGATCTGCCCCAGGGGGCCACTCCAAAAACAGTGTAGTACCGGCCAGTGGTGCATGTGTGCCTCCCAAGCTCCGTTTTTGCTGACAGAGGGTTGTAGGAGGCTGTCCCAGCTGAAAATGGAGACTGGGAGCCCATTTTCACTAGCAGAGTGCTTGGGCCAGTGCAGGTGGCCCCAACACGAATGACATCAACCTGGCCACGCCCACCCCAGCCCTCCAAAGTCAAATACAACTCTGGGGCGGCCCTCCATGAAATCAAGTTTGACACCCTTGGCTTAGAAGAATAGAGTCATGTCCTTCTATTTGTAATCCAGGATAATTTCAGATGATTGCCTTCATACTATCAATGCCTAATTATTTAATCAGCCATTTTATACAAGTGCTTTCTTTTGACCTGATAGCCAAAATGATATTTTCAGAAAGACAAAGCCAGCTGGATCCCCTTGGACCACTCATTCTCTCTCAGCGTTAGAAAGAAGACAAAGGGAAACCACTTCTGAAATTTTCCCAAAGCCTGCAGGAAAATATCCAAGCAGTCACCAGGAGTCAAGGCTGTTTTGAATTCCCCTCCCCCCCAAAACCCCCAATTGCATTGGTACAAGAAATCTGCTTTGGAAGGATCTGTACATGTAGGAATATGGATAATAGCTTCTCTTTGCCTTTTGCTAGTGCTAGTTAAGTCTTTCCATAGCAACGGTGGTTTCTGCAGTACACATGATTTTTTGACTGTATTTTGCGTACAATTTTTCCTATTGATATTTCCCCCTAATGCAAATACTAATTGGGATCAATTATGCAAACTGTTATACTGGTACATCCTAGGACTGAACCATTCGCTTACAATTCCTCAGGGAACTTGATTTGGTTTTTTTTAAAAAATCCAATCTTACCACGCTAGTTATTTCTTCTGTCCCAAATACAGTCCAGCATTGCAGGCAAGGAGTCACAGGATGCAGGGTGATGAGGCACAAATTACCTCCACTCTCTCTGCAGCATGCCTCCTCCAAGCCTGTTGCAAAGATGTTTTCCTAACTTCCAGTGATCTCTGCAGTGATACATTTGCCAGTCCTGACCCACAACAAAAGAACTCCAACAGCTAGCCATGCTTTTACAACTCCAGATATGCAATTTAAGCAGGATATAGTTTGCTGACTTATGATCTACTTTCAGGGCACCTGTTGTGTGGATCTACTTTGTATGACTAAGTCTTGATCTTTGAGCAGAGCAGATCATCTACAGTGACAATCACAGGGAGGGAGATTACCCTGCCATTTATAAGCCAACAATTGTTGTTGCAGATGTTCCTGACTTTGGTGATGCTTTTTAAGAAGCGGTTAAAGCACGTGCTCACAACCAGCGAACCCCTTGCCAATAAAAAGTGCAGCCCACCTCTGAACTGATTACAGTGATTATTATCATGATTATCACCCTAGACCAGGGCTGTAAAACTCACGACCTGCAGGCAGGGTGTATCACACACTGGCCACGCCCATGCCTAGTTTAGCGAAGGGGGAAAAAGTCACGACACGTCATGTGATGACACCGTGACGACGCGAGTTTGACACCCTGCCCTAGATCATTGATTCTCTGAAAGTGCAGTCATTTCAAATTGCATGACATTCCTGGAGAGAATTTTCCCTGTACACCGGTTTAAGTGGGCAGTTCCAGAGGCCTGAATGAAGCCACCTTTGGAACTGCCTCAACCTTTGAACTGGATGGGGACCTTGCTTTCCCAAGAGTTTTCATTCCACTGGGCACGAGACTATAAATATGTGGATGTGGATTAAGATGATAAAATGCTAAGTATTCATAGACCCTGCTTTTATGTTTTAATGTTTAATTAATATTCCATTCATGTTTTAAGATTTGGTAGCAGAGCACTCTAAGAGTCAAATCGTACATTTTCTAAATACAGTCCTGACTCACTGTTTAATTATTAGACCACTTTGTATTTTTCATTTGCATTTAGGGTTTAGCTGGTGGGCGAGGGCCAAAAGGAGAACAAGTGAGTATATAAACTTGCACAGTCCATTTATTTTCCAAACTTGTAAAAAAACTCAGGAAAATATGCGGTGCCTATTTACAATCTAGGCTTGTCTGTCTTTTTATATTGCAGGGTCCCGCTGGGGGAGAAGGAGAAGCTGGACAAAGAGGCGACCTTGTAAGACTCAATATTCACTCCTTTCAATAGGAAATATTCAGACTTAAAATACAAAAAAACAAAACCCTATTGTGTCTTTTAGTGTGACTAAATAGTTCAAGGAAATTGTTATAGCAAACACTACAAATTTCACAAAGGAAGCCTTTTGTGCAGAGGTGGTATTCTGACCAGTTCTGGAGAACCGGTAGCGGAAATTTTGAGTAATTCAGAGAACCAGCAAATCCTACCTCTGGCTGGAGATTTTACAGTATCCTTCAACTTCCACGCCCACCAAGCCACACCCACAGAATCGGTAGTAAAAAAAATGTGAATCCCACCATTGCTTTAGTGACGTAGCAAAATATTAGGAAGGGATTTGCAATTCACAGAACACTCTAGATGCAGTAAAGTCACAAAGCTGCCCGTTTCCACACTTATTATTTATTCAATTTATATGGTTGGGTAATTGAAAACAACCAGATACAGCCTCCAAAAAGGATTAAAGACATGTCATTGTGATAAATAACAGACACAAATGCCACCTGACTAGGTAATGGTAGTCTTCCCAGAAAGAACAAGGCCAATAACCCTCTCCAAATCAAGAAATGTGAGCTGGTGACAAAGTCTTTGCTGAACTTGATGACAGCCTGAGAACTGCCATCATTAACACGTCTCTTTCCTACCCAGAAGTGATTGGCTTATTTGGTCCACAGAGCAGCACCTCATTTACTTACCTGAGTTGATTAGCCCAAGTTGATTAGGGTTAGGGTTAGCTTGAAAATAAATTTCCCTCTTCATATAAAAATAAATGCATGAATCATGTTAGCAGCTCTCAAGGCCAAGCTAACCTTCATTGGTTTATTCTCAGGTGCTAGTTCCACATTTCTTTTATAAGACCTCCCATTGAATATGATCATTCCTTGAACTTTCATTTCTCACTGGCTGTGCTGTGCTGCCTGAGGATTCTGAGCCACAAAACCCACAGTCCTAGACAGGGCTAAGATTGAAAAAACATGTACTAATGGCAATAGCTGTTTCTGATACAAAAACTTATTAGGTTTCATATTTTTGATTGTTGCAAAAATAGCCTCAAGCCAAGAATGCTCCAAAAACATACTTTCAATTTGACATACAAATGTTTCTGTATAGGCAGAAACTCATCTAAGGACCAACTCAACATTTCAACTTTAAAATGTGTATTCCGTTGTGGAATTTGTGGTTATTGCTTTTCACCCTTTTGAAGCATCCCTCTAAGAACACTCCTTTCCTGTAATTATGGTGATACCCGTATATGTAGAAAGAATAATATGAAATTGATTATATGTAAAACTGCACACATCTATGCCAACCTGACATCATTCATCTTGCTTTGTTAGGGTGATGCAGGTTTGCCAGGCCCTAAAGGATCTGTAAGTATGATGAACTGCAGGGTTACTGAAAATCCAAAACATAATAAATCAGCAGAATGTGGCAAAAAAAAGGGGGGGGGGTAGTTGTCTGTTTTCTCAAATATGTTAAAATATTCAGTTACCCAAGGAAAGAAGCTAAGACGGAATGATCCATCCATTTTCTACCTTTTAAAACTGTGGATTATTCTCTAGAGACTTTTCCAAAAGTGAGAAATATAACTTTTCCTAATGTGTAGAATGGCGGAGGGGCGAGCATGTAAAAACAAGGTTGGTAAACAAGAAAAGTAAATAAAAACCCTGGGAAAGAAATGAAGGATTTAGAACTAAGTATTGGCAAAGCAGTACCTGTGAAGTCAATTTCCATATAGGGTGTATCCAGATCCACATGCCTTCTAGAGCAGGGGTCTCCAACCTTGGCAAGTTTAAGACTTCACTGGTTGAGGAATTCTGGGATTTGAAGTCCACAAGTCTTAAAGTTGCCAAGGTTGGAGACCCCTGTTCTAGAGCACAGAGCACCACTGCTATAAGGCTTAAACCCTTGGCATCCTTACCTGCGGTTCGGATTTCTACATAGCCGTGTGTCCAATTGCACTGCAAATCAAGATGCAACATCTGATCTACTTTAAAAGTTATTTTAAAATTGTGGCTTACTAGCATGCAAAAATAAGCAAAGGGAAATGTACTGATTGGAAGCCTGTTTTTGAGATGGTGAGATATATACAGTATATATTTTCTCAAGTTGGTCCCTGTTACTTACATTGCCTTCCACTTTTGCAAATTATCAGTTCATTTCCATCTGTGGAAGGTGCAAAATTAAATTCCCTCTTACCTCCATGGTAAAATTCTGCTAGAGAGCTTGTTATTTTGCATGCTGAATTAAACATTAAATGGTCTGAAGGTCTTTTTTAGACAAACTCCAAAAGGTTCCACAATTCTTGGAGATGTGTGGCAACATGTCTCAGTGGCCTCTGCAGTGGGAGCAGCATTTGTTGACTCGGTGGTGTTTGGATTGGAATATTATAGTTAATGACATTTAAACAAACTAGAATATGAAAAGTTAGTTTAATCATCCACCTCATCTGAAAGCCATTAGACCTGGTTTCCTGATGAGGACTAATGGAGAAATATTGTTATATATTATAAAGTATGATGTGTTGTTACTTACACGAAGGAAAAAAAATAACGAAGGTGGCAAGAGAATGCCATTGGTTCATATATGATTAAGCAGGTATAATGATCTGAATGGGGAAAATGTGCCTTGGATGGTTTAGAAAGGGAAAAGAGGTTTTGCAATTTATTTCTGTGAATGACAGATGACTACAGGAACCATTCAAGCTTAATAGAGTTTGAGTACTAGACTATATTGAATTTCTGAAATACACAATGTAATGTTTTAGTGCAATTGAGTTACATTTTGAAAAACAATACTCTCCTACGGGCTTCAATTACTGCTCTCACTGAATATTCTCATTGTATCAGTTCTCCGTATAATCATTCCTAGGGGCGTTCTTTTCATCGGTGCATATTACTCAACAAGCCAATTCTTCTGTGCTGGTTGCAACCAATTTATTATATCCATGTAGGCCAGGGGTGTCAAACTCAAACCCCATGGGCTGGATCCAGTCTGTAGGGTGCTTAGATCTGGCCCGCGGGGCTGCCATGGAAACAGTGAAGGACCGGCCTGTAGTGGGGGCCCTCCCGAGCTCCGTTTTTGCTGGCAGAGGGTTGCAGAAGGCCATCGCAGCTGAAAATGGAGCTCAGGACCCCAAAATGGCTGTAACATAATGGGCTTTAAAAATATACCTCTTCTACCTTTTTCCAGTGGTGAAATATTTAGATTGATACCATGCCACAGTGATCAACAGATGTATCAGCAACTCATCCAGCTATAGAGATAGTTTTTAGGGATTTGGATGGCCCGGATAAGCTTTTTGGGAGAAAGGGGCATGTTTCTTTCAGTGGACACATGCAGCACAACATACAATTTACAATACCAGTGAGTGACACATTTCTATAAGATGATCTAGAAGCAAACTTCAGAGATGTGACTTTCTATCCCTTAGCCCTCATAACAGCCTTTTTGAAGAGGGAGATGGAGTTCAGCAGGATCTGAAGAGTCACATTCTGATTGGGTCAAAACGCCACTCAATAACCCCACAGGAGAAAGTCAATTCTTTTCAAAGCCATTGCATTTGGAACTGTTACTGGCCTATTGCCATAACTTTTGCAGTACAAGAGGTTTAGAATGAGGGCTGACTGCCATTTCTCTTTCCTTTCCTTTCCTTTCCTTTCCTTTCCTTTCCTTTCCTTTCCTTTCCTTTCCTTTCCTTTCCTTTCCTTTCCTTTCCTTTCCTTCCCTTCCCTTCCCTTCCCTTCTTTCCTCCCCTCCATTCCCTCCCTTCCTCTGAAGCTTGCAACAATACCATCTTAATGTTCTGTTTCTCCTAGAAGAGAAATAGCTCACCGCCATCCCAAATACTTGTACGACCAAATTCTATCTAATATTATCTAATATTTTTTTCCTTGACAGTGATATTTATGGAACAAAAAAAGTGATCAGCTTAAATGACCTTGTAGTTTATAGCCTTCTGGTGGTTAAGCTGTTTTTAAATATTTAATATATTCATAGGATTTGTGCAAAGACAGGAGTTTGGAATTGCTTTGGGGATTCATATTGCTTAAATAATGTTTTGCTGCACCAGGTGCCTGTGGGGACAAGGGAAATCAAATGCTACTTGCTATGCGGAAGCTTCTTTTCTGGTTTAAGAGAAGAACCTGGCCTCTATCAAAATAATAATAATAATAAAAACCCACTGAAACGTAAGATGCCACATCAGATTTCCAGGTTATTTCTCCCTCCTAAGATTTCTTTCTAGAATTTCAGATCAAAAATAATGTGAAATGTTATGGTGTCATAATAGCATATTAGAAAAGGGTATGTAATCACTGATAGGTAGAAATCCATATGCCTGGGAATTAAACCTATGGATTCACTGGAACTGATTGTACCCTGGAGGAGATAAAAGAAGACAGCATTCGTTGTCTGTTTATTGAACAACTTTCTCATTTAGCAAGCTCACATTATCATTTAACAAGGTGTCAAGAAAGTGAACATAAATGTCATGAAGAAGGAACCAGAGTTCTGGTGTGATAAACTTTTAATTACGTAGAAAATTGTTTCTACAAAAAAATGAATCTGCTGTTTACTTCTTGCCCCCTTCTGTGTTAGGTTGGGAATCTTGGTGAACCTGGTTCACGCGGGCCAGAGGGAAACCGTGGCATGCCTGGCATCGAAGGATTTCGTGGCCCCCCTGGCCCCCGTGGTTTGCAAGGGGAACAAGGGACTCAGGGGTTACCTGGCAGTCAGGGACCAGCGGTGAGTAAAAGTTTCTTTTTATAATACGAGTGTTGCCCTGGCAAGTGCAATGCCAGTATTAGCAGAATAGATACTGGAAGAAGAATGACTTTTGCACTCCTTGGCTTGCTAGCATGGCTATCCAGCTCTGAATTCAGATGATCTTTTCTGTCACGACACTTGATTGGTTTTGCGTGGAGTGGTTTGAGTGCAACACTAGTGCTATCCTAGCTGAAGCAGCACAGTACAAAATGCAAGAGGGACGAAGACTTCTTTTTTTTGCACAAAATCTGAATGGAGCACAGAGATTATTACTTCCAGAGGCTTTCTGCATCCTGGGCAAGGGATTCTGACCAGGGGTGGGATCCTACTGGCATAACAACCAGTTTGGGGAGCATGCACCAAATGTGCACTGCATGCATGTAAAACAACTTCTGCTGCAAGCAATAACCATCTCCTGCTGACGTGCAGCACTCAGCTGTGCCGCACAAAGCAACTAGGGTTGCTTTAACAGGGAATAAAGGACAGCCAAGAGCCCGGGTGGGTGGGTGGGCCCAACCAAAGAAAAGAAGATCTTCGGAGTGAAAAGAAAAGAGGATCTTCGGAGTGGTGTCAGCTGCTCTTTGGAGCTACTGCTTCTATAGAACCGGGCCAAACCGGTAGAATCCCACCTCTGGTTCTGACAGGCCCTGCCGATACATTTCAAGACTTTGAAGAAAAAGTCTGAAAGGGAAGCAATTGGCTGGGTCTCCAGATGGACCTCAAGGCTCATAAATGACTTGTGTTTTCCATGGAGCTTGAGGGGACTCTCCCCACCTCTCCAGGGAAAATTGACCTGCCCCAGTTGCAGCCTCACTTGAGAGCCTATATTTCTAATAGGTTCATTGTGAATTTATTACTGTTCTGGATCCTCTACAATTGAAAGTATCTAAGATGCCAGCCTTAATACTACTCTTTCAGCTGAGTTTACAAACGGCAGCCTAGAATTTTGGAAAAACAATTGGAACTACTAATGAAATACATATTCAATAAATTTGTGTAGGCAGCAGCAAAGAACGGGTAGAACTAAACCATACAGTGAACAGGGTAGGCAATCCACCTTTGAGAATTAATCCGAGGCTGTGAGTAATACAACTCCTATTGAAATGGTCCCACTTCACAGTCTAAGAAGTGCGGAGTCATTGCACTTATTTTCATTGGAGAAAAAATAAGCGTTCCTCAACCACTATGCTTTTCAATTTTAGAATGGTCCCTTGCTGACATTTATCCTTGAAGGTGCTTTTTTTTGGTAAACTGCACTTGGATTTGTGTAATAATGAACCTGAACCTCCAATAGGCAAAGGGAACAATAAGAACTCTTTGCAACTCTCAGGCAAGAGGCTGAGTAGCAGAGTTTTCTACTTGGGTGGTGTGTAAGGCTCTATGAGAGGGTTTTCCAACCTTGGCAACTTTAAGACTTGTAGACTTCAACTGCCAGCAAGCTGGCTGAGGAACTCTGGGGGTTGAAGCCCACAACCCTTAAAGTTGTCAAGGTTGGAGACCCCTGTTCTATGAGGCATCCCTTCTTGCCTCTGTTCTCATGCCCCACATGCTCAGCTCCCATCTTCTTCTGATTATCTCCTTTTTCAACTAAGGTGTTAGGAAGCAGCATAAAGGACTCACTGGCATCCTGTAGTTGAGTCCTTAATGCCTATTCTGGCCTATATTCTTATTCTTGGCTTTCTGCTCCTTGTATTATTGGAATTGCTTCAATCTGCAGGCCTGAAAATATGCTTGCAGCTGCAGAATTGTTCTCTTTACTGCTTATATCCCTATCTACTCCATCATAACACAATCACTATGTTATTTTAATGCTGTATTTCTTTCAGGGTAGAGAACCGACTGATTTGCATATTAAGCAGGTTTGCATGAGAGTAATACAAGGTAAATAAAAATACTTTATGGTACTTATATATTTTTAAGGTTTGCTCGTGAATATATTTTCGTGTACATGGTTAACTCTACGATATCATGTGCATATGTTTTGTTTTGTCAGCTCTTGCATTCATTTTCACCCAGCATTGTCTTGTGCTAGTTTTTGAAATCCAGCAGGAGTTACTAACTATAATAGCTGGTGCAGGCTCTGGGTTTGCAAACTAAGATTCAAAGTCTCTTACTCTATCATGATTCAAGTCCAATCGCATTCTCACACATAACCCAAGATATTTCACAGGGCTATTGTGTAGATAAAGCAGCAAGGTAAGTTTTACCCTACCAGGTACTACATGCTGCGTAGAAGTCTCAAGAATAAGGCAGGAAATAAATATTGTAATAAATGAATTTCATTCCCAATTCAATTAATACACGAAGGGAGCACTTATTTATTAGGCATTTTGACATTCGGTAATAATCGAGAGCTTGTGAATTCTCCAGAATGCCTTTTTAGGTATGTTCTTCCATGCTCATGGAAAATCAGGACTAAGGGAAAGGACTATTTAAAAAAAATAAAAAATAAGTGTGACTGATTTATAGCAATGCCAGTACAAAGTTTCAAATTTTGATGGAACGTGAGAGAGCTTTTTAGATGTCATGAGGTCTAGTACATGCTACCAGCACATACAGCATATGCTTTTCTAAGTTTGCTGGAAAAATTAAAAAATATGAGAATCTCTTTAAAAAGAAAACCCTAAATGCAACCTTATCTACGTACATCTCTTGTAACACATTAAACCTTACTTGGTGAGGGAGCAGAAAGAAAGTGATCAAGGCACTACACTATTTACACAATTAAAGACAATTTTGGCATTGGAATTACGATTTTTGAAGATTAGTAGTTTTTAAAAAGGGGTCAATAATAGCAATTCATTTCTTCAGAGAAAATTAAACTCTTCTCCAAGAAACATATCTAAACTTCTAGATTGTTCTCTCCCTCTCTGCCTCACGCTCACACACATAGATATTCTCTGTGGAAATTTTCTTCATGGAAAATAGGTTTTCTGGTGTTTGTTTTTTAAAGTAATAAGATTATATTTGGAGCTGCTAAATAATCATTTGTTCTTTCTTGCTATGGTGGGTTTCAGATCACTGAAGAAAAAGGATGTGACATATACACTGCATCCAAATGTATGCAAATTCAACCCCAAAATCTCTAGGGAGGCTAAGAAAAACTCTAATCTGAAACTAGCAGTCAAACCTCAATAGATTGGTGGACCTGTTTATCAGGATGTTTTCTGGGTTTGCAAGAGAAATTGATAGGTTCAACCTAAGGACCTTAACATAGGTTTTAAGGTTATTCCAGGAAACAGGAATATGTGTTGAATAAAATATCTTCCTTTTTTTCAGTCCTACTGATATTACTCATCTACACTCATTAATCATAAATAATGTTAGTTCATTGCTTTTACCTAGTGTTGCAATTTATGGAGTTCCTTTTGTAAAAACATAGGTAAAGGTTACAAATGTTTGTGTCAAGTACAGCAGTTCATAGAAATTGGAGGGCTCAGCTCCAGAACCAGCAATCTTTCTCGGATTATATATATAATGAGCAGATAACAAGAACTCTGCTCCGTCAGTTATTAATACACGTAAACATGTTACTAGCGTCGATTTGATTCTTGCTTTGTGCATTATTATACTTGTGGTTTGGGATTTATTATGGTGGAAAAATAGCTTGCCAGGGGCTACTACTGAGATCTGCTGGGACTCTACAGTGTTGTATTTCTGAAGTTTAAGAGGCTTTATTGCTCTTTGTGATTTAATTTGAAGCCTTCCCGGGTGAGACTATTTTTTAAATTGCCCAACAGAGGACCACATTCGTTTCCCGTTTCAATATGCCTCTGCTACCAAGATAAATGTTTCCTTCTCCCTTGTCAGTATCAGTTATTCTAAAATGTAAAGGCTGCAGCTCGGGGCTACAGCACCTATTTTCATGCAGAAGATCCGAGATTTTCATTCTCTGCCATTGCCAAAGAGGTTACAAGCCCTCTTCTCTCTTGCAGGTGGAAGCATTTCCTCTCTTCCCTCCCTCATCTCTCTCCCTCTTTCTTTCTCTCTCTCTCTCCCTCCTCCTCTCCCTCTTATGTTCTGATTTCAGCAAAGATTAGCAAAGCAAATTTTATTATTATGACTAAAGGGAGATCTAGAAATAGATCATAGGGATACCAAAGCCTAGCACCTAGCGAGCTACATCTTACCAGGAGGTGCTCTGTGCCTGGAAAGAAAGGCCAGGTGCTCTGTGCCTGGAAAGATTAGCAATCCATCAATCAGAATGACAGACAAAGAAGGAATATGGAGCAAATCTTTATCTACTGCTACCTTGTCATTAGGAAGCCCTGATATCATGTACAGTCAGTGCCACTGGACTGACCTCGCCAACAGTCTCAGAACTGGAGGGCAAAAATCAGTCTACTAGATGGATGCTAATTTTTCATCGGGGGGGGGGGCACATCAATTGGTAGATGGAAGACTCACCTTACTAGTTACCTTACCTCTTCCTACCTTACCTCCATCTTACCAGACTTACCTCTTCCCTCCCTGCTGAGGGAGAAGGGACCATGAAGCTTTGCCTTTCTAGGATCCCAGATTCTGAAGTGGGAATTCAGCTGTTCTAAATAAAGCCCGCTCTGAAAGGCAGCCTTAAATCTCACTCTCACAGCAAATCTCTTTAAACTTGACTTCTTGCTATGTGAACAATCAGCAACAATCCATATACCATCAACCATTTTATAACAATAGCAAATTTCATATTAATTATCTATAATGAACTTAGGAAACTTATATACCAATGGTTTGCACCATTTTGAAATCAGATGTGAAGTTTTGCAATTCCAAAATGCCAGGAGCCATGATGGTGCCAGGATCAGAATGCAGAATTGCAGGCTAACTCTGCCCACAGCCAGGAGTTCGATCCTGACTGACTCAAGGTTGACTTAGCCTTCCATTCTTACAGTGGTCAGTAAAATCAAGACTTAGATTGTTGGGGGCAATAGGGGGTAAAACGTTCAGAGAGTGCTGGTATATAAGTCTATTAGAATCTAATGATCTAATTTATCTCTAGCTCAGCTTTCTGCTGTAACATCCATATTTCCTTTTGCAGAGCTTTGAAACAGTCCTTGTAGATCTTCTTTCTCACCCCTCAGCTCAAGAGGACTTACACTGATATCCCGCTTTCCCCTCCCTTTTTAAGCAGGAGAGAACCCTTATGCCAAATACTAGCCGTTCGGTTTTCTTCATTTTTTTCTTTCTCCTGGGATCAGGGTTCCAACTCCAATCAAAAACTCCGAGACAGGCATTTAAATTACAAAATCCACCCCTTGCACCCATCATTCTATCACATGCCCCAATCACCATCCATTCCAACTTGAGACATCCCCTCAACCACTCCTCAGCCAGGTGCAGGAATAACATGACCTTGACTTTAAAGAAGAATGCTATTATGTCTAACCATATACTCTCCATGAAATCCACCCCCTCCCAACTTCCCAAGCTCAAGAATGTGGCAGCGTGGAAGCTTCTGGTGCTAATATGGCTTCCAAAGCTGACACTCCTTTTGTGAGGAGAGGGAGGACTTTAGTTTTTATTTTGCCACAACACTTGCAGAGTTTCACACTAGGACTGTAAACGAATGACGTGGTTTGCTTCATGAATCACAAAAGGAAGATAAGTTTGTACCTTGTCCACAAACTGCTTAAGAGAAGAAGGCGGAGGGGTGTGAGAGTGGTCTGCATGAACTTCAATAGCTCCTTCTTTTCATTGAGCAGAACAATTGGCACAGATGGCTGCTAGTCTTCGGAGGCCTGAATTTGGGGCTCCTGGCATCCCAGGCCTACCTGGTCCACCCGGCTCCCCTGGACTTCCAGGACACAGTGGCTTCCCAGGACAGGCTGGATCCCGGGGACTGCCTGGTCTTAAAGGCCCCCCTGGGGACATTGGACCGAAAGGCCCCAAAGGTGAGAAATTCAGAATATTGTATTTGTGCATCAGATATATTGCCATTGTGACCTATTTATTATATTTTATGGAATCCAGTTATATGATTCTCCATTAAATGCATGATTCAATTTTATTCATTTTTTCTGGGTTTAGGTTGAAGAAAGCATCATGGTAAGCATTGCATTGTGATGTATTGTGATACAAACTCTTTTTGTAGTGACATACAAATCCTGATGCATTTCCAAAAGGCAAACTTTGCAGTTAATGCCATCTTGGTTGTTTTCACACCCTCCTCCCTCCAAATGTATGCTACTACTGGGGTTGCATGAAGTATCTTTTCTTTATTTACATTTGACTCAAGGAAGCAATATGAGATAATTTTTAAAAAGTTATATTTACTTCAGTATTGTTAGTTCTTGACTCATGACTGTTCGAACAAAAAAGAATATTTGTTCCAATAAAAAAAAAAAGGCTCAGGGATAAAATGAGGGGTCCTTGGTGCACTGTGAGCTTGGCTCTTTCTTTGCAGATGTTTTATTGCATAAACTAGGTAACAATCATCAGTGTTAGTCATCAGTGCTAATATTATCTAGTTTGGGTAGTGAAATGTCTGCAAGAAAACAACCAAGTTCAGAGTACACCAAGGACCCTTTATGACTGGGTGTTGAACGATGACGATTGAAAGTTATGAAGGCTTTGGAAAACGGGCTTTACATCCTGTACTTGCACTTATGACTGTTGCACAACCCCCGTAATCACATGATTGCAATTTAGATATTTGGCAACTGGATTGGATTTATAATCATTTGCTGCATCCTGCAGTCACAATTTGTTACCTTTTTTGTCACTATCCAGATATTCTGTCTTATGATTCACTTGCTGAATATAAAGACAGATAGAATAACTCTACAAATTCTTCCATACAAAGTTTCTTTTATTGGATTATATTAGGTATCCTCAAGGTGACTCACAGTTATGTTGAGATGCATCTAATGTCCAATTCTTTGCATAGTTGAAGTCATAGTGTAGAAAGATAATAAAGTCTCAACCCCATGATGATTGAAGCGACTGTATGGTAAAGGATTCAGGCTATGATAGAAGCAGCTGCATGGTAATGGATTCAGCCAAGAGTGAGGGAGCCTCCCCCAACCCAACAAGGGTCAATTTAATGACCAATCAGGATTACAGATGTGGCCACATGACATGGACTACATTTCCCAGGATACCTTAACTACATTTACCATGATGCATTCCCTTAAGGGGACAGCTCACAATTCCTAACTAACTACCCCAAATTTATTTATTTATTTTATTTATTTATTTGATTTGTCAATTGCTTACAAGATAATAGGTATAAGTATATACATAGTTATGAATACATGAAATGGGTACATATAAGAAAAATAAACAATAAACAATAGGACAGGGACGGTAGGCACGTTGGTGCGCTTATGCACGCCCCCTACAGACCTCTTAGGAAAGGGGTGAGGTCAATAGTAGACAGTCTAAGGTTAAAGTTTTTGGGGTTTGGGGAAGAAACCACAGAGTCAGGTAGACTATTCCAGACATTGACCACTCTGTTGCTGAAGTCGTATTTCCTGCAATCAAGTTTGGTGCAGTTAACCTTGAGTTTGTATCTATTGTGTGCTCTTGTGTTGTTATGGTTGAAGCTGAAGTATTCATTGACAGGTAAGTCATTGCAATGTATGATTTTATAGACCATACTTAGATCAGACCGAAGACGGTGTAATTCAAGGTTTTCTAGGTCTAGAATTTCAAGTCTGGTCAAATCCCATTAACTCTAAACTGTCTGGACAGCACACCAGAAAACAGAAAAAAACTATCCATTGGGGATGCTAGGTTTGGTTTACAGCTATGGTAAAATAGTTGTGAATCAGGTCTGGTCACATGATGACTCATTTTAACAGTTAAAAGGGACCTTGGAGATCTTCTAGTCCAGGGGTCGGCAACCTTAAACACTCAAAGAGCCACAAAGGTCCTAACTGGAAGCCCCCCTGTTCAATTCTGGAGCCGAGCAGACTCTATGGCAGTTCCCCCACCATAGAGTCTCCTCCTAGCCCGGCGTCCTTTTTCCTCTACCTGTCCTAACCAAAAGCCCTATCAATTGTGGAGCCGATTGTTGACAGGGAGCCACAGCAGAGGGGTGAAAGAGCCACATGTGGCTCCAGAGCTGCAGGTTGCTGACCCCTGTTCTAGTCAAACCCCACCCCCCCTGCTCAGGCAGGAAACTCTTTTACAACTGCCTCAACTTACAACAGAAATTTTGGTCCCCAGTTATGCTTGTAAATTCAGGACTATCTGCACTTCAGTTCATTCAGAGTTCTTCAAACAATTTGTGTTTCTAAAGTGACTCCGAAGTGGATTTCCTGCCCCCCCCTTCCATCAAGTAAACCTGTGCTCACCTTATGACATCCATTCTTTTTCATTAGTCTGCCTGTTCTAGAACAAACAGAAATTCCTCGGCTTTACAAATATGAAGCATCTGTCATCGGAATAGGCAGAAGGGGTAACATCTAATCCAAATCATTGCATATGGGGCACCTTGATAGTGCTGATATTTTTAGCTCTAATCAGAAAAATGGAGAAGGAAAGATTTGGGTGGGCAAGATAGCTTCTTTTTGATCCTGAGCAAATTGGGATTTGGGGGAGTGGGTGGGTGGGAGTGTCATTTACTTTACCCGATTTTTCTATATGTATTATGTTTCAACATCCAAGGCAAACGTTCTGATCCTTATTCAGCTGTTGAGTGAGCTCATCTAGCTGATGAAGAGTGATGTCATTATTATATAGATAATACTCTATTTCCCTAATGTAATCTGGAGGATGTTTGGCTACAAGGGTATAAAACCAATGCCTGCAATGGATGCAATTAATTCTTGATGATCTACTCAGGATAGATGTCCATCAGGTCTGAAGATACTCAACCTGGTTTGGATATATTGGTTCGTAACTTAGGGAGCATTTCCAAAGGCACCATGCAGCGGCATGACAAATAGCACAAACCACAGTCCAGGTTCAATATGAACATATGCCTGTTAGAGAAAACTAATTCTGTGACATAGTTCCCTCGCTCAAAGATCCGAGGTGGCTGAAAAGGAGAGAGGGGAAGTGAAAATTAGCAAAGCTTTAGACCAAAATAGCTTGCTTTTTGACAACCCTACAAGATAATTACACTGGCACACAGTAATCACCACCTAAAAGCATGTTATACCTAAAAGAAGGAGAATGGGAATGAGTGTGCAAAATAACCTAAGCTGGCATGATAACAGCAGCTAATTAACCTGCACAAAGAAAGAATGCAAAGTCTGCATTTTATATCTCACAGTTAACAAAAACAAAACAAAACAGGAATAGGCAAGAAATGTAAAGCTTCCGGAAGAATGTGGCCTGCCAAGAGTGGTCCATAGATTATATAATAAAATATATATAATGTTTCAGCCGCATTCCTCCTTAAAGACAGTTTAGTCTCTATCTAGGCAATTCCCCAAAGCAAGGCAGGAGGAAGGAAATTCTAAAACAGGCAAAGAGTTAAAGTCGCAGCCTCAGGAAGGATGCAGAGACCCCATTAGGACAGCCTCCATGCTGAATATTAGAAAAGGAAAGGGGGAGAAAATGTGCTTCTCTATTCTGATTTAATGAACCAAATGGCCTTTTCTGATTGTCAGCATTGCAGGGAACTGAAGATCTGCAGTATCAGCTGTTTCAGAGTGAACTTACATTCCTCTGGTATTGCTTAACTATTCCGGATAAAAATTAAAGCCTCCTTTACTCTTAGTAAGGATGTAAGGCATAGAAACCCGACATTGACTAATTGCAATCAAACGTAGGCACTCTTAGAAATCATGAGATGGGGGGGGGGCAAAACCACAAGGGGGGGGGGGCACTGTTTAATGAAAAGGAAAATTAACTGGAAAAAAAACCCCAAAGTCTTGGAATCAGAAAATAGGTCTATTTCAATTTGCAGCATTCTTAAAACTCTCTGGTATTATTAACATGACTCGAGGCCTATATATTGACCAGCTGATTCGCTTCTAAGCTAAATTCAAGATATGAGGACTTATTTTTAAAGTTGCAAATAGCTGGAAGCCGATATATCTGAGAGTGCACCAAGCTTTAAGATCTGTTCTCAAGGCAGAGGTGGCATTCAGCAGGTTCTGACCAGTTCTGGAGAACCGTTAGCAGAAATTTTGAGTAGTTTGGAGAACCGGCAAATATCACCTCTGACTGGAGATTTTACAGTATCCTTCTCCTGCGACGCCCACCAAGCCACGCCCCCAGAACCGGTAGTAAAAAAATATGAATCCCACCACTGTCTCAAGGCCTTTTCCAGATGCCTTGATAAAAGCATCCATTACACACATTTAAAAGCATCGACAGAACCCCACATTTCTTTGGATGTAGGCACCTTAATCTCTGGCCCAGTTACCTCCTTAATCAAAGCCATACCAGAAGCGAGAAGATCAGAGCGACACTTTCTCCACAGATGTTCTCTAGACTAGAAGTCTCCAAACTTGACAACTTTAAGACTTGTGGACTTCAACTCCCAGAATTCTCCAGCCAGAATAGCTGCCTGGAGAATTCTGGGACTTGAAGTCCACAAGTCTTAAAGTTGCCAAGTTTGGGGACGCTTGCAAGACAAACAAGTATTTTTAATAAGTTTTAATAGTTTTAAGGACATGCTACAGTTGATTGTACCCTAACAGGAAATTTTAAACAAGGTGGCGGGTTAGCATGCACATGTTTTAAAGAAGCCAGGGGGTAGGAAATACATGTAAAATAAAATTAAAATGTGTTTTTTAAATTTTTATTTTAGGTGACACAGGTGAGAAGGGGGAGAGAGGATTTCCAGGTCAAGGGCCTAAAGGCTTGCCAGGAACAACAGGACTCCCTGGTAAGTATCGAAAATGGTATCTGGATCATCCAAAAAATGACCAAACTATTTCACATTAGAAACCCCATTTAACACAGTGCTGGAAATAAAGGCATCTGCTTTGAAGAATGAGCGCTTCCCTCTCTCTCTCTACACACCCAAACACACTTATCACCCATTTTCCCCTCTACCCCCAATTTTTGGCCTCCTTTTCTGTTGCAGCTCTTTGGCCTCTGTCACAAAAGGTGAGTTGACTTGATTGATTGTAAGCAGGGGTGGGATTCTACCAGTTCGCACCTATTCGCTAGAACTGGTTGTTAACATTCTAAGCAGTTCGGAGAACTAGTTGTTAGAAGAAATTACTGGCCTAATCCTGTAAGGAAGGCAGGAAGGAAACATTCTGGTGTTGCTTACAGAAACTGCCTCTCCATTAACCCTTATTACATTCTTGGCAGGACTAGACTTCCTGTCTCAGGAACGTCTCTGGAGTTTTTTCCCCCTCCTTTGCTGGTACTTTGCTTGTGTGGAGTGACCATTCAAAGTTACAATGGCACTGAAAAAAGTGACTTATGACCATTTTTCACACTTACGACTGTTGCAACATCCCCACAGTCATGAAAGGCCAGGCGAGGAGATGCATGCCTCGATGTGAGTGATATTGAGTTGGCTACACCCAGCCAATAACATGACCACCAAGCCATGTCCACCCAGTCACGTGACCACCAAGCCACGCCTACCACCTAAGCCACAGCCACACAACCAGTTAAAAAATTTGAATCCCACCCCTGATTGTAATACCAAGCCATAATGGGGTTGCTTTGGATTAACATGACTTAACCTGCACATTATGATTGAGGAATCTGTATGAAGTAGGCCACAATTTTTAAACAAACCTTGGTTGAAACATCTTGGCTTAAATATTATGCATCAACTCTGCCAATGTGTACCTCTTTTAAAATAGCCAGTTAGATCTAGGTTATGGTTCTTGCAACATAACAGTTATCCTTTTTTTCTCCTGCTGCTTTTTACACTTTTATCATGGTAGGAAAAACTGAGGATTTACACTTTAATAAAAATTAGCTTGAAAGCCAAGAAGCCATAGAACAAAAGTATTAAAATCAGTTTCATTTGTGTCATAACTGCACAGGATGCAAAATTGCATGAGACAAGGACCAAACACATATTGGATAAATTAAAAATACCACATTGGTTTCCTTTTAAAATGAGTTGTGTGAGGATTTGCAAATCCTTTAAACTGATTTTGGTGGTGCAGCATTTTGAAGTTCAGTTTTTGAATACAGCATTGGAGATATAGTGGGAATGAGGGAGAGGCTCTGCACAAGTCTTCATTGGTGATAACTGAAGCAAAAGTGCCCTCTAGTGGCTAGTAGGAGATAAATAATTTGGCAATTTTTAATTTCTAAAACACTGAATCAGAAATAATTCTGCAAATAACCCCTTTATGTTTCTCTGCATTAAAAGTAAAATGTGTTCTTTTTTTAACTCTCCAGCAGGCATTCTCCCACTTTTTTCCCCCAGAATACATTATATTTTCTATGTCACTTTTCAACTTCTTGTCTGCCTTGTCAGACTAATCATTCTAGGCACAATAGATCAATTGTGAAAAGCAATTTATGTTGTCTTTGTGTGCCTTCATGGGAACAAGGATCTGAATGTTACATATGAACTATTATTTGCTGTTTTTGATTGAATAAAGTACAATTGGCTCGGTTCACAGAGCGTACTAAGCCATAGATCATGGCTTACAAACTAGGATGGTTGGGTGTGCATTTTATCTAGTGCGATAAATCCAGATAGTGAAAGTGTTTTCTCATTGGATAAACCTATTGCCTATTGGTTTAGTAAAGGAGATAAAATGAGAACCCAACCTCCCCTTTCATACGGAAGATGACTGTCTATAGCAAACTTGAAAACTTTGAGACGCATGGACTTCAATTCCCAGAATTTCCTAACTAGCATGTAAGCTGAAGAATTCTGGAAGTTGAAGCCCACATGCCTTAAAGTTGCCAAGTTTGAAAAAATTGCTCTATAGCAAAAATACTTTACATCTTCTACATGGCATTGGATTAATAGGAGAAACCAAGTTTATGCGATCATCCTTACAAATAAGACTTTTATAACTACAGCAAAATGATATTTAGGTGCTTTTCCTGAACTTATGGCCCAGTTTTTGTCTTTGCAGGAGAACCCGGCAAGCCCAGTTATGGCACTGATGGGCGAGATGGCGAGAGAGGCCCACCTGGAGCCGCTGGTTCTCCTGGTGTTCCAGGTCCTCCTGGCCCTCCAGGTCCTCCTGGTTATTGTGAACAGTCGGCCTGCACCATGGAAGCTGGATTACAAGGAGGGCAGAATGTGAAAGGCCCATGAAAAATGTAGCATTTCACAAAATGACATGATGTTTTGAAATTGGAAGCCATCTTTGATCTGCAGATGTCTACTAACCACCAAGAGAAACAGTCTAGAAAAACCAGACTGTAAAAAATTCAGCAAATCTTATCAAGGCCTTGATAGATCTCAATGTTCTGATTGTCCCCTCCATCTGTTTCCTAATACAGTACAAGACAGTTAAACATTTCAAAATGGTGCTTACAAAGTGATGCCAAGCGGTTTTTCTTATCTTTCTTGAATTGTGATGAAAGGCAGTAGATGTTTTTTCAGCTGTTAGTTCTTTGGAGTTCCCAAAGTTCCTGAAGTACTTACTTATAGAGTACATAACAACCATCTTTTGTACAGTCTAATGCATCGGAATACTAAGTTATCCTATTTTTTTTCCTTTCTACCTAGGGTCCATTTTAGTGCTATAAGTAGCCAATTGAACTTTCTTTGCATGTCACTGAGATTTAGAAGTAGTCACCCTGTTTTTAAAAGTACTAATTTCTGAGGAGTTTATATATATATAATGCTTCAGTGCCAGGTTTACCAGGAATTTGTCAGGTGAAATAAACTTAGTTTTCTGCTCTATTTGAAACATCTAGAATTCAAACCACTGCAAAAGGATTTTTAATCTTTTGAGAACAGTTAAAATTTATAGCTGAGTTTATTTATTTATAAATACCTTATCTCTTATTGTATAAAAATGAAACAACATTATTTAATCCTTTGCATTTTTATAGAAGGTAAATGAAAGTAAAGCAAAGAAAAAATTTATTTCCCTTTTTTAAAAAAACTGGAAGTAGTAAAAAAAACAAAAGTACATAATTTCCTCCAAAAATTATAATGTATTTTGAGCATAGCTTTATTTTTTTCAGGAAACTGACATCCCTTATAATTATCTCTATTTTATGAAACACATGATCTGTCATTTGTAATTCAACAATAAAAGTACCCTTTTAAAATAATAAACCCCACTTTTCCTGTTTCTTTTTGTCCAGTTTTTGTGTATTGAAAACAAACTATGTAGTTATTTTCACCTGTGTTTTCTTGATTATTTATTCCAATGGATCCCTCAAGTTCCAGCTTTATTTGGTTGTTCAAGCTAATTTACTTGCTAAACTACTGTAGATTGCTTTTTTTTTTTTACAAGTAGCATACAAAGTACACCAATGATCAAAATATAATCATAGTAATTGGACTATTTCTTATAAATTCACAAAAGTTTGTACAAATATTTGTTTGTGGCAAGTGCCAGCAACTGTGATTCAACCCTGGCAACTGGACAGATAGACTAGAAATTGCAACAAGAAAAAATAAAGACCTCAGGGGAATTCAAAAATAGAGTACTTAGACTGTCAGTGGAAATAATCTTGCTCAAAAAAGGACACCAGCAGGATAGGAAGGAAAACAAAATAAGTCTTCTGTAAATAAGACAATATCTTAAATGAGTGATGTTGCCGACATTGTTTGGTTATCGCTCTCTAAGATTCTTCAATAAATAGTACTATTTTAAATTCTTCAGTTTTCCTGTGAATGTATCCAAGTCCTGTTTAAATGAATGAAGTCTGGCACAAATAAAGTTAATGGAAAGTACAACGGCTTTAAAATACACTTGAGTGCTTTCATGGTCTGTGGATGGTCATATGCATGGTCTGTGGTCATATGCATGGTGTAAGGAAACAGGTATTTATTAAATTGAGCCCTGTCCTTAAGGAGAGTGGAGCAGCCATTTCAGAAGAAATAAGTCAGGCAACAGCAGTACACACCAGAAAGGCAGAACACTGTGTTAGGAATGTAAGTCACCTAACAGTTGGGTTGGAAAATATATAAACCAGGATAGACATTTTAATACTGTCTCTTTAAGGGAATGCTAAAATTGTAATTGGGTGTGGTTCTTCAAATGGCCATAAGATGGAGCCAGAAACCTGGGTTGTTTCTGTCCTGTCCTGT